GGTACAGGCTTTTTGGATTAGGATCCATAAGTATATCTCAGGGATAGGGTCAACCTCTGTCTTGACAAATTATCAGTACTAGCACTATATGTGTATGCATTTGTGACTGCGTGTGTATACTATTTTGTATATACTTTGTGTATACTATTTTATTTTTAACCTATTTTTCTTTTAGACCTGTCACTTTTTTTTTTTACTATAGAGGTAGGATGAAGGTGGTGAGGGCGCTCCAGAAGTAATCACGTGGACATTATAATGTGGACGCTACTCTATTTAAGGATTGTGATTCCTCATATGCCAATGGTACAGTGGTTACCGGTCAAATCTCTATGCTGAAGTTTTACTTTGGATACACCAACGCTGCCTTGGGCTCCTTGTTTTATTTTGTTGTTGTTGCTACTGTCGGGTCATCTGGCCCACAGCCTCTTTAATTTGTTATATGGTTGGAACTGTATTGGTTCGCTTTTGTTTGTATTGTAAAACAAAATAAAAAAATATAAGTCTCAAAAAAAAAAAAAACTCCTCATTCTTTTCAATCAGACCACTATGTTTGCTCAGTGGGGGTGCCAACATAGGGCCCTGGCATAAAAGCTGCCACAACAGCAGCACACTGCGTGGACTACACAGCACATCACATACATTAAGACACAGATTCCTGCTAGCTTACTTTGTACTGTGAAAAAAGGCAGGTAACTCTTGATTGCAGAAAAGTGAGATAATTTAATATGCTCAATATGTGCACAAATACAGGAACTCAGTGGCATGAAGAACACAAAAAAGAAACGCCTTAATTGGCACTCTTCCTTAATGTGTTGCAATCCAGCTGCCAATGTAAGCCTTCTCTGTGTTTTTTATTTCACTGAGTGTTTGTATTTGAGCACATATTAGGCATATTCAATTCCCTTACTTTTCTGCATCCACATAGCTCCCCTCTCTATTTCTGTAGTTTATCACGGACCTGCTTGGGAAGCCTTTTTTTTCAGTATTTAATTTATACATAATTCATAATTCCACAGTTTTCTTGGTGATTGTTGTTAAATATTCTTATCATACTGTGCAGTGTTTTGGAGCTCGATAAACCTTCAAACTCATCACTCTAGGGGTCAAACCTAAGTTCCATCATCTCATTTGTGACTAAAGTAAGTTCAGGCAAGCTAGTTCAGGCAGTCAACTCGAGCTGTGCTGATAGACACACATGACATGCCTCATTCCATAATCACTAACCAAGC